TCACCTGCTGAGAAAGAAAAAAGAAAACAAGCAGAAGAGAACCCCCTCTTTTTCGCCGAATTTTTTTTAATTCAGGCACACCGGAGGCTTTTTGGGTATGAAGGCCATGCCAAAACATCACATTCTGATTCAAGTCCAGACTTTGACTAGGCCACTCCAAAGCATTCATTTTGGGGTTGTTGTTTTTTTAGCCATTCAGAGGTGGACTTGCTGGTGTCTTTTGGATCATTGTTCTGCTGGCCAACCCAAGCTTTGGGGCATGGTCAAGCATTCTCCTTCATTATATTCTGATATAGAGCAAACTTCAAGATCCAGTCAAGTCCTCCAAGTCCTGAAGCACTAAAGCAGCCCCAGACCATCACACCATCATCACCATATCTGTATTTAATCGGTGGCAAACTTTTTTTTGGCGAAGTTACATGATGTGTACTGTGTCAGAAGGGACGGTAATCTGATCAAGATATTATCATAACAGTACAGTAGCCGTCAAAGTTTCCTTTCAAGAGTTCCTTGAAAGTCCTATCTGAAGACAGAACAACTTGTTCTGATAATAGCTGAATAACTCTACTGTGTCCAAAAGACTTTTAAAGAGTGGTGTTAATGATGCTTTTAGATTTCACTGGATTCCATGTGACAAATTATATTATTAGTAATCAGTGCTGAATGAAATGGAACAGAATAGCCCTTTATTGTCATTGTGCAACGAAATTCCTGGAGTTTTAAGAATGGGTCGCACTGTCTTCTGGGATACAAATGAAAAACTAATAATAGTAAACTAATAAACTTAGTTTATTTTCAACAATTAAAGAAGATTGAATTAGTCACTAACCACACACGCCGTTGTACTTGTGACTGAAAAGTATGAGTTCTTTCTCTTTGTGGGTTTGAGTTTTGATAGTTTGTTTCTCACTGCCCTTAAGAAATAAATCTGTTTTACCCAGCCTGTTTTCAGAGGCAGAACAACTAGAAGTACTTTCTGCGTGAAACCACTAATCCTTACATTTAACAGACCCATACTATTACTTCCAGCAGTGGCCTTCCATGTAGCTGATGAGAGCCTATATATACATGTACTAATTAATGTCATGAATAGGCAGTTTTCCCCTAC